ACAATGGCTCGAAGGGCTGCGGGAAAACAGATATATTGATGCACTATTGATTGAATTATGAACGAGTCTAGCCATTCTGGAAAAACTATGTCCAAAAAATTATTAAATTGTGTATACTCTTTGACCCAGAGATGCTACAACTAGGTATGTACACCAAAGAGATCAAAGAAAGGGGAAAAGTCCGGTATATTTAAAAATATTTACAGCAGCTCTTTTTTTTTTGGTGGCAAAGAATTGGAAACTGAGGGGGTACCCATCAATTGAAGAATGACTAAACAAGTTATGGTATATAAATGTTATAGAAAACTATGTTGTAAGAAATGATGAAGGGGACAGATAACAGAGAAATCTGGGAAGACATGTATGAACTGATGCAGAATGAAGTGAGAAGAACCAGGAGAACAATTTATATAATAGCAACAATATTGTAATGACACATGACTTTGAAAGACCTAGGAGCTCTGATTAATGTAATGACCAACCAAAATTCCAGAGGACTCAGGATGTAGTGTGATACCCAGTTCTTGACAGAGAGGTGATGGACTCAAAGTGCACATAGACACATAGGTTGGTTTTTTGGGGAGTTTTTTGGACAGGGTCAATGTAAGGATTTTCTTAACTGTACATATTTTTATATTGAAATCTGAGGACACCATTATCATAGGGGATTCTTCAATTAAAATAAATGGAATTTGTCTGACAGAATTAAATTCCATTGGTCATTTTAACAGTCATAGTCCTCAGTTAATACTTGATACGTATTTGTGATGGGGGTTTTGTTTTTCTTTCTCAAAGGTGGCGGGGGGGCGGTTAAGAGGGAGAGAAGATAGATTTTCATTGATTAAAAAAATTAATTAAAAACAAAATGGAAAAATAATCCTATAAACTTCCCCTAGAAGCAATGGATTCTCCCTTATCCGCAGTCAATCAATTAACATTAAATGCCTGCTATGTGACAGGCACTATGCTAACCTAAGCACTGGGGATAAAAAAGCAAATATCTCTTAAATAACTCATAGTCTAAAGGGAAAAGACAATATGTACATAACTATGTACAAATAAGATCTATACAGGGTAAATTGTGGGCAATGCCTGAATGAGTTCTTAAACCCAGGTCCTCCAATTCCAAATCCAGTATTTTTCTCCCTCTTCCACTTTGTCCACATCACTTAGTTGCTAACCTTTCAGTTCAATCTTTTCCCTGGATGATAAGAGTCCAGTGCTCAGCATAGAGCTTGTGGTGCAGCCATCTCTAGGAACTAGCTAAGCTCTGTTGTCCTTAACTTGTACTTCTCCATGACAGACGGTGCTGCATATTCTTGCCAATGTTGAGAACTACTAATTGATTCAGACTTTCTGTTGTAGTGTTGGAATGAAAATTCATTCAAGGCATGGAAGAGGGAGGAGAGAGAATGTGTGATTTTACAATTTGTTTAATTTTTTTTTTAAAGAAAGCTCACCGTCAGCTATAATAGGCTTTTTCTAAAAGTATGTTTTCTTAGCATGCCACAAACTGGCAGGTACATTTTGTCATGAATAAAGCTGGTGGGAAGGTATTATTGCATTAAAATATTAATAGAAATTCTAATATTTGGTTATCCCACACAAATTCAAATTTAACACAGATATGACATCTTTTTGGTTAGAGAAATCCTACCCATTGTGGCACTGTTTTTCCATTATTTTCTGTGGTTTTTTTGGGGGGGGGTGTTGTTTATTGGGACTTGTGAATTTTGTTAATGAAAGGAACTTCTGTTGTGGAAATTCCCCCATCGATGCAGATTTGCAACTCTTCTGCTATTTATAATGTTAGAAAGTTTCTTTGTACACTCAGTGGTTTAATGACTGCCAGTTGTGATACAGCTAATATATATGAGAATCAGGTCTGAATCAAGTTTCCTGACTTCCAGCTTCTCTAGCTGCTTGACATACTCTTTCTTGTATGCTTTAATGAAAAGGCTAAAAATGAGGCCTTTTCAAAGGATACTTCTTGTTAGTTGGCTGTCTTCTTCACGAAAGGTCCACTGTGAGGCTTCTACTGTTAATGATTATGAAGGGAACATGACAAAAATTCTCCAAAGATTTGTGGGTAGGCACTACTATCAATCACAGTCAACAATTTACAGATAGGAAAAAATGCCATTTATCACACTGAGAGGGAAGGCATCACTGAACAAAAAGAATTGGTGAGCCCCAAACATCAGTTTCAATCAACCTTATATAGGTTTTGCTTACATGAATAGAAATTTCAAAGAGCAAATAAAGGAAAATAATGATTTACAGACCAAAGAACAGATGGCAGAAGGGAAAGATCTACATCAGGTAAAATAGGAAACTACCTGGTTAACACCAGACCTATAGCTTATAAGTGTGATTTTGCAGACTCTATGTGACCTGTTCATCTTAAGTAAATGTCAGTAAGAAAATTAAACTAAAAACAGAATAGATTGCCTTGGGAAATGATGGCCTTGCTCTAACTAGAGGTTTTCAAGGTTTTTATTTTATTTTTTACCAGAACTATGATTTCATTGGTATAGCAGATTCCTAGTGAGGCAAGTATATCAGTGTAGCTCTGCAAAGGCCCTACCATAAGCCATGATTTAAGATTTAGAAATCTGATTCTTCCCTATATGCTTCCCTGTCTTATTTTCACAACTCAGGGAGGTAGGTGCTATTATTTCTCTCATTTTACAGATGAGAAAATTGAGTTTAAGTGACTTTCCCAGGATCACACAACTAGTCAGTGTGTAAAGCAAGATTCAAACTTAAGCCTTCCTGACTCCAATACAATGATTCATCTGTTGTGCCACCTGGGACAGTGAGAGAGAGAGAGAGAGAGAGAGAGAGAGAGGGAGGGAGGGAGGGAGGGAGGGAGGGAGGGAGAGAGAGAGAGAGAGAGAGAGAGAGAGAGAGAGAGAGAGAGAGAGATGAGTACTAGTAGTAGTAGTAAAAGGGGGAGAAGTCTAGAATCTGTGTCTTCCTAACTCTGAAGATGGATTTCTGTATCACTGGCTAGGTATAAGTTGTCAGTGTCTTAAATGTATTTGTGCCGTGGTAGAAGGGGTTCTACAGTAAATGTGTCATTAGTGAGTGCTAAGTGAAATAAGAAGCTTCCATCAGTCTCTCCACCCAGTGTGATACGTCAGGGCTTCTGTGGAAACTTTCTTTTAAATGGACAGAAAGCAAGTGCTCTGCAGGGTCCAGGTCTGCAAACCAAACAGTCTAGATTGTAGAGTGGCCAATAGGGAGTATGCTGAGTGTTCTGTGCCCTCTTTGGTCAATGAATTCACTGGTACATCACTCACTAAGGTTGAATACCTACAGTATGTAAGGGAAATGGATATATAAATATCCTGCAAAATTGCTTCTGTACAGGGCATTCAGCTGCATTTTTCTCTTAACAGTTTTGAAGAATGCTTTTTTTAAAAAAAAATTTCTCTGAGGGAAAAAGCAACAACATATCTTCAATCTTCTATGATCCTTGTTATGTCTGGATTTTTTTTATTCATTTGTTTTCAATTCGATTATGTCTGTGTAATTTAAGAGAACCAAAGCTGTAAACAGGAAATGAAGTATCCCTGAAGTTGAAGGCAAATCTCTTGATATTTGATGTAGGTATAACCCTTGAACTTTTGTAGTTTTCTAACAGTGTTACCTCATTCTAGGTATTTTTTTGGTTGTTGTTTGTTTGTTTGTTTTAGCATCATAGTACAAAGATGAAAGGCAGCATCTTATACTGGATAAAGTAGTGGCCCTGTAAAGTCAAGAAGACTTGGATTAAAATTCTGGCTCTGACATATACTGGCTACATGACTCTGAACAAGTCATTTAATAACCTCTTAGTGTCCCAGGCAACTTTGTAGGTCTTCAAGCTGTATCAGCTTTCATTGGTAACAGAAGTTTCCACTCTGAAAGTTCTCTGTATCAATGAAATCAAAGTTCCATAACAAAAATAAAAGGGAAAAAATTGATCAAGGAGTCCATGAAGGGGAAGGGATCCCTCCTTCGCCCATGATTTTCCTTACTTTGACTTTTGGGAAGTTTCTTTACCTCTTGTATCAGTTTCTTCATCTATTTCATATGTTTGTGTGTGTATGTAGTATATAGATTATATATCACATTTATAATTATTGTATGTGGGTGATTATTATGTATCTGTATCTATCCCTATCTGTGTGTGTGTGTATATATGTATTGTCAACAGGCAATCACAACTTCGTGAAACTTAAGTGAAAACTAGGTTTATTACAAGAAAAAAGAACATTCATGTCGAATACAAAGAGTTCACAATCCATATTGAAGTCTTCATTTTTATAACAGCAGGACAAAGGAAGGAGGAGATGCCAGAATCTCTACCTAGAGGGGCGTGGCCTAGAAAAGGGAAAGATAGAGTAAAGGTGGGAAAGGGACAAAACCCCTTCTGAAGGGGGAGGAGCAAGGCCACAGCAGAAGCCATATTCTTTTCCCTTGAGACCTGCTATACCATGAAGATAGAATAGTCTATTTATCTACAAGGGTCTCAGCTGCACAAGCAATTTCTCAGCCTAGTGCAAATTGACTGGTGCCTGTCTTGACTACTAAGGACACACAGGGAGTCCAGCTTAGGATGCAAGCAACACATTATGTCAGCTCGGGGAATGGGGGACACTTCGTCTTTGACACATTCAGGGTCTTCTGTATGCTCTGGGTCCAATGTTTCTGGAAAAGATGGCAAGTCAAAAAAACAAGTTCAAGGGACCCTTTAACATTCCTTAAAGAGTGTGTGTGTGTGTGTGTGTGTGTGTGTGTGTGTGTGCCCGAGCACGTGCCCGCATGTACACATAATTTCAAAACTCTTTTCCAGCTCATATATAATTTCAAAACTCTTTTACAGCTCTCTGCTTTTGAGAATCTTTGGGGGTATGAATTAATTTTTTTTCCCTTTGTGACCAAGGTTTGAGGACATTTTGATCCCTCATGCTTTTTGTATGCACGTTACAACATCTGATTTATTCTTGTAGACAGACCAAGTATCAGAGATTGAATTACATCCTCAATTGACCAGAACTCCTTCCCAGACAGAGGAGAGTGGAAGTCCTGTGAAGAAGGTAATGCTGTATTGCTTAATGTTATTGTCATGAGATACTCCCTGTACTTTGCCTCTGTCAACACACCAAAGTGGTATCATGTTCTAGAGCCATGGGAATCCTGTTTAGAGAGGTTGAGATCTTAGCAACAAGCTGGGCATAGGCCTCTGCTGTAAAGTGATTGCTGGCTGCCTTGCCAATGATCCTTCCGTTCCCAGGCTTAGGGGATGGCCCGGTAAATGGGTTTGAGAAGATTCAGAGGTGTTTGCTTTCTTGTGGCCAGAAAGGTGCACTTCTGACAAGAGCAAATTGCCTGGAAACCTCTGCAACGGCTCACAGTGTGCCCTCTGGATATTTTCTTCCAGTTCATTTCCCTGCCTACTCAACAGCATGGCAGACTCTGCTCTGTCCTTTTAGGTCATGGAATCAGTTTTTGACTGGCCTTTAAGTTACTGTCAAGATCTTTTCCCCAAAGTAGCTAATTGTCTGTTCATCCTAGTGCTGAGTCAGGGGGGATTTAAGCCACCGTGGGAGTCACCCACATGTCCACTTCTAGACAGCACTGCCTTCACTTAATAATTGAAGTAGAACAATGAAGAATATACAAATGTAAAGCCAAAAATATATATGATAAAGTTGATGATAAGTTTATAACTGGGCAGCTAGGTGGCACAGTGATTAGAATGCTAGGCCTGGAGTCAGGAAAACTCATCTTCCTGAGTTCAAATCTGACCTCAGACACTTACTATATCTGTGACTCTGGGCAAGTCTCTTAACCTTGTTTGCCTCAGTTTCCTTATTTGTAAAATGAACTAAAGAAGGAAATGGCAAACCACTCCACTATCTTTGCCAAGAAAACCCTAAATGGGGTCACAGAGTCAGAACTACTGAAAACAACTGAACAACAACATAACTGGGTTTCCACAAGAAAACCAAACAAACCCCAAAACCCCATGACCACATAGGGCAGACAGAGATCAAGTATTCTCTGAGTTCAGTAAAATCCTAATAGCTTATCCATTGAGTAAATGTTGGTAAAATTTAATAGACTGTTTCAAACAGGGACAACATCATTCATACAATCTTAGACTTTGAGTCAGAAGAGACTTTAGTGTTCATGGAATCCAAGCCTCTCATTTATAGATGAGGAGGCTGAGACATAGATAGACAGGCTAAGTGACTTACCCAGCATCACATAGCCTGTCTATATCTGAGGGAGATCTTGAGCCCAAGTCTTGTTGACTTTACAAGACCAGCCTTTCATCACCCCACCATACCATCTCTCAACTTTTTATTGTGACCCTAGCAAAAATCCCGTTAAATGAAGAAATGTTGTAAGTATCTGTGGTGGAATGTGAATGTGGGTCTTCCTTATTCCATGTCCAACACTCTATCCAGTATATCATGCTTGGTCTGAAGCCAAGTTCTCATTGATCACTCTGATTTTCACAGGTGCCTTTAATTATTGCATTGCCAACCTGGTATGGGAATGTGAGGGGCTATATGTATGTAGACATGTGCGGGAAGCTAGAAATTAAGAGGTATAGACATGGTGGTGGTCATTGTGTTTGTTCTTCTCAGGACCTGCCACCATCAAAGCCCATTCGTCGAAAATTACGACCTGAAAATCAAATAATGGAAAACCAAGAGCCGCCTTCTTCTGTGAGTGGGCCATCTACCGTGCCAATTGTGAAGCCACATGCACCAGTCCAAAAGTAAATAGAATAAATCAGTAAAAGAAATGGTAGTTTTAGAAACTTTTAATGTTGCTCCTTTCTTTCTCTTTTCCTTTCTTCTCCCCCTAACCCATCAAATTAAGTGTACTGGCCACTAATCCTTTTTGGTCTAGATCTGTAATTGTATGAGTGTAGGGAGCTCCCAATGAGATAACTCCTTTTATCAATACAGATCAGTATCTTCTTTGCAACAACCAATAGATTTGGAGACTTGTCTGGGGGACAGTGAGAAGCTGAGCAACTCATTGCTCGAGATCACTCAACTAGTACATATCAGAGGTAGTACTTGAACCCAGGACATCAATACACCATGCAGCATTTCTAGTACATGGTAAAAATAAAGGAAGTTAGGGGCAGCTAGGTGGCGCAGTGGATAGAGCTCTGGCCTTGGAGTCAGGAGGACCTGAGTTCAAATGTGACCTCACACACTTGATACTTACTAGCTGTGTGACCCTGGGCAAGTCACTTAACCCCAGTTTCCTCACCAAAAACCTAAATAAATAAATAAATAAATGGATGAATGAATAAAGAAGGAAGGAAGGAAGTTAGCATTCTTCACCGCTTGCCTGGGTTATGTCCTGTTTTGACTAGGACAAGTAGCTATTTTCATGAAGCATCAAATCTACTTCAGTTGGAGTAGGATTATTTTTTTTCTCAGAAGTATTTTCTGTTTCAGATTGACTAGCATTTATATAATTCTTTAAGGTTTGCAAAGTACCTTACACTTATTCTGTCTTTTGATGCTTACCACAATGCTGGGAGGTAGGTGCTATTATTATCCCCATTTTACATATGAGGAAATGGAGGCAAACAGAGGTTAAATGACTTGCCCAGGGTCACATAGCTAATATGTAGTAATAATAGTAGCTAATATTTGTATAGTGCCTACCATGTGTCAAATGCCGGGCTAAGCTCTTTACAATTATTATCTCCCATGATCCTCATCACAACCCTGGTAGGTATTTTTATTATGTTGACTTTACAGATTAGGAAATTGAGACAAATAGCAGGTAAGTGATATATCCAGGGTCATATAGCTAATAAGAGTGAGGATTTCAACTCAGACCTTCCTGACTCCAACTCCAGTACTTTATACACCTACCTGCCTCACAACTGTGTGTCCAAGGCATATAGCATCTAAGCTATCTTACAATTTTTTTTTGTTCAGTCATTTAATTGTGTCTGAATCTTCATGACCCAGTGGACCACAGCTTGCTAGGCCCTTCTGTCCTTCACTGTCTCTCAAAGTCTGTCCAAATTCTTGTTTGTTGTTTCCGTGACACCATCCATCTCATCCACTGCAATCCCCTTCTTTTGCCTTCAGTCTTTCCCAACATCAAGGTCTTTTCCAGTGAGTCCCATCTTCTCATTATGTGGCTAAAGTATTTAAGCTTCAGCTTCAGTATTTGACCTTCCAGTGAATAGTCTAAATTAGTTTCTTTTAAGTATTGACTGAGTTGATCTTCTTGCTGTCCAAGGGACCCTCAAAATTCTTCTCAAGCACTCACAGACAAATATTGCTACTGGAAAAACCATAGCCTTGATTATACAGATGTCGGCAAGATGATGTCTCTGCTTTTAGTATGCTATCCAGACTTGCCAAAGCTCTCTTAGGAATAGGGGGAGTCAAGTTAAAGCATCTGTGATCAGGACGAGAGCATGCACCGTTCAAAGTGCTGTTTCTCATCAGAGGTTCCCAGAACTGAGTCAGGGCCTTCAGACAGTTTTCTGGCGCCTTTTCCCTTAGTCAGAATGGTCAAGGTAGAAGTTCATACCAGAAGAGAGCACAGCGAGCTAACCTCACCCCTCATGGAACCCCTCACTCAAGGTCACTAGCTCACTGTTGTATCTTTTGTCCTTGTGATAATTCTGTAGTAATTGAGGATTAGGTTTAGGGTTAGGGTTAGGGTTAGAGTTAGGGTTAGGGTTAGGGTTAGGGTTAGGGTTAAAAGCAAGGCATTTGGGGACAGACACTGAGGATAATGGGCTGCCCTTTATCTCTTTTCTAAATTTGAAATTCAGCTCTGATGCTATTCTGTTCTTTAGGAGATGTCTTTGTATTTATTTTCCTTGTTTAAAAAGGAGATTAGGGGCAGGTAGGTGACACGGTGGATAGATCACTGGCCTTGGAGTCAGGAGGACCTGAATTCAAATCCAGCCTTATACACATAACACTTACTAGCTTTGTGACCCTAGACAGATCAGTTAACCCCGATTGCCTCACCCACAAAAAAAAAAAAGAGGAGATTATTTGGGTGCTGTCCAGAAGTAAAAAGTATGCTTTGTAACTCTGTGAGCTTTGATCACCTCTAGTCCACTGCCAGAAAGCTATGAGAGAAAATCACATTACGGGCAATGGTCATTAAATATTCCTCTATTTATACCACTCCACTGTTTTTATCACACTTTGGGTCATATTAATCAGCAGTAGTCAGGGTTCAAGAGGCAGCTAAGTGGCTCAGTGAATAGAGTGCTGGACGTGGGGTCAGGAAGACCAGAATACAGTTGTGGCTTCAGATACTTACTAGCTGTTTGACCCTGAGCAAGTCACTTAATCTGTTTGCCTCAGTTTTCTCATCTGTAAAATGGGGATAATAATAGCTCTTACCTCCCAAGGTTGTTGTGAGGGTCAAATGAGATAATACCTGTAAAGTGCTTAGCATAGTGCCTGGCACATTTTAAGTGCTATATAAGTGTTAGCTATTATTATTATCAAACTCGTCTAGGTTCTCAGGCCAACTGTAGAAACCAGTGACCAGTCACTTCCAAAACCAGTGTCCACGTTCTCTCTTCTGCCTTACTTGCAGAGTCTCAGCTTCTAGGTACAAGAAGTCTTGTACAGCCACCTAATTTGGTGGCAGAACTAATTTATTTAGGCATTGGGACATCCTCAGAACAGTAATTTAAACCCATGCATTTGTACCGGCAAGCCTAGGCCATGGAACAAAATTAGCCAAAAGTAGATTAGTTAAGAAATGATTAAATCGTTGGATAAATAGAGTTACAGCTGGCAGATTCAGCTTCAAAAATCACTGCTGTCTAGTACATTAAGAGCAGTGGAGTTGGTGGAGTTTATTCCAGTGGGGAGCATTGGACCCTGAGTTTTCAGCAACAGGTGGACCTCAGATAGCATCACCAGTAATGAGCTGCTGACAACTCTCGAGGAACAAAAATTGAGTTTTGCTTAGAAGCAATGAGACTTATCTGCTCTGTATTTTCTGAGTTATTTTTGTGGCTGCTGAGGATGTATTTGTGAGAACAGAGCTATTTATGCATTTGGAGGTAGGAGATGTTGGGAACCAACGTGACTGCTGGAGCAGTAGCCAGGACTTGAGAGGTTCAGCTTTCCATGTGACCCATGTCATTTATTTATCTTAGGGTCCATGGGAAGGAAATGGAGTCATGTTAGCTGGTTAACTGTAATAAAAATAATAACAGCAACAATGATAAATAACATTTCTATAGCACTTACTATGAGCCGGGTACTGTGCTTATGATTTGATTCTCGCAACAACCCTGGGTACTATTATTATTCTCATTTTACAGATGAGGAAACTGAGACAAACAGATTTTAAATGTCTTTAAATGTTTGAACTCAGGTATTCCTGTCAGGCTCAGTGCTCTGTGTATTATGACACAAAGGTGGTGGAGATTTCTAACTATAATCATTCTATTTTATGAGGATAAGTGACAGATCTGTAATTTGAACTCAGGTCCTCTGACTTTAAATCCAGCATTCTTTCCCATGACCTATTGGATTGTACTGTAGTTCTCTTTTGCCCCTACTTCTGTATGTAGGGAAGATGATTGGCATCCCTAATGAAAACTTATTTCCAAATAAAGAAAAAGGAACAAGTACAGTCTCAGCACTCAGAAATGGTGATCTGATTTTCATGTAGGGAACTGGAGGAGGGACAAGGGAATAGGCCAAGGAGATTTTCTCTGTGATCCCACACATAACATAAATGCTGAGTTTTTTGGTATTCTTAGGATATAGTGCTGATGTTGATGGAGTTGAAGACTTCCAATGACTTTATTTTTCTACACTCCTTCTTCTCTCTCCCATTGATCATCAGAGATCAGGCTAGTCTTGGCCCAACTAAGGGTCTTGAATTAGAACTAGAAACTTCCTTATTGAGTTTACTCTTGTCAGAACCAGACCCGGGAGATACAACCAGAATGCCAGTCTATCCATAGTTTGAAAGAGTCTTAGAAAATCTCGAGGCTAAGCAGACCATAGAAACTTGGGATTTAGAAGAGGAAGACACCAGACAGATCTCATCTATATCTATATTGTGGAAAGCCCAGGCATTTGAATTATAGCCTGAATCCTTTGAGAAAACTTAATCTGTGGAACAGTCCCAGGTTTTCTTAGGTTCATTCTGTCCCCTATGGCTGTTCTTCTTTAGGCCCATGTCTTATGTTGTCCCTCACATTCAGTGCTCTGACAATCAATCACTCAATCAATCAATCAGTCACAGCACTGCCATCTCATTTGGTGGCTGTTTGGGACACTGTAGGACATAATGTAGCATCTAGTTGTGACCACGTTTTCTAATGTGTATGTCATCTTCCTCTCCTAGATCTCCATGTCATCAAGTTCTGAACCCATTGGGCCTGGGATTATATCTTCCTTGACATCCAGTACAGTGGGTGGCATACTGCCCATGCTTTGAAAACATTTGAAAACATTCAGTTACAGCATCAGAACTGATGAGATGCTGATGAGATTTTTCACAAAATGAATTGAGTTGTCACAGCCAATAGGTTGTGTAGGTAGGGTAAAGCCTACTGTCCAGAAACCATGTCCTTGAGATTGGATTTCTGGATGATCATCTACAGGAAAGCTAGTCCTGTGATTTGCATGACTCTCCCCACCCTGACAGTCAGGTCTGTCCTGCTTAGGAATGAGCTAAGCTGGGGTGAAGGAAATGGGGCATCATGACTGGGAGGGGGCAAGCTGCTTCTTTTTGGATCTACAAGAGACTTAATGCCCTTGACTGCTATTAGATATGCTTTGCATTAATTCTAAAGCCCCACAGATATGCAGGCACATACGCACAATACCATTTTTATGCTGTTGGCTCTGGTAATGAAAAAAAAAGCAACATAACTCAGGCTGTTCTGTGTGTTATAGAAGTGCTTCTTCATAGAACATACTTCTGTTCTTAAGACTTGCCCAAAGGGCATGAGAAGCTCTTTAAATGCCATTGATACTTATATACAAAGAGCATTTCAGTTAATCTAGTTTGCTAGAAAGACATTTTTTACTAAAATGTCTTGGAATACATGGAAGATCAAGTATTTGAATAGCCCCAAATCGTAGCTATTCTTCAGGTTATGAAATATGCAACTCAAATATTTTTATATTCTATAAATGTAAAAGAAATGGTACTTCTTTCAGTTGTTATTAACCCAGTAATGCCATTTGTTTCATTTTTAAAAAGTAGATTTTTTTGAGGGGAAGGGTGGGCTCCTTGTCAATTGAAGCTGTCCTCCATTTTCAAGGACTGGGGTCAATAGCTCTCAAAGTCCTTTTTGACTGAATTATTTTCTACTCTTCTTTCTGACAGACAGTCTTCTAAGCAGAAGAAGGCAATCCAGACGGCTATTCGGAAAAACAAGGAGGCCAACGCAGTGCTAGCCAGGTTGAACAGCGAGCTCCAACAGCAGCTCAAGGTGAGGAAACTCATTGAAAATTGGTTCATGGGGCAGCTAGATGGCTCAGTGGGTAGAGCACCAGCCTTGAAATCAGGAGGACCTGAATTCAAATCCGACCTCAGAGCACACATTTGACACTTATTAGCTGTGTGACCCTCAGCAAGTCACTTAACTCCAATTGTCTAAAAATAATAATAATAATAATGATAATAATTTGAAAATTGGTTCGTTAGACTTAGAGCATCTAGTTATTTTTCACCAATGCCCACAGAGCTAATCCTTCTCTTATGAGTGAGACTGACAGCTTTGTCCTGACTCACAATGTCAAAGAATATCAGAACTGAACAATAGACTTCAGTGGCCCCCTCGTCCAGCCCATACCAGAAGAGGAAATCTCTACCACAGTATAGCAAGCAGATGAACGTCCAGCTTTTACTTGGAACTTATTATTGTGGGTGAGGGAGACCCGCTAATTACTAATTACTGAGTCAGCCCATTCCACTTGTGGACAGTTCTAATTGTTAGAGAGTGTTTCCTGACACGAAGCATAGTTTGAGTCTTTACAGTTTTCTACTCCTTTGCTCCTGGTTGTGCCCCCTGGGCTCTTTGGAGGAAAAAGAGGGAGGGAGGAAATGTATTTTGCCTGGCACAGAGTAAGTACTTAATAAATGCTGATTGATTTGATTTGACTAGCAAAAGTTCATTCCCAAATATTCGGGAGAGAAAGTTAAATAATATCCTTCTGACTTCAGATTTAATGTCCTAATGTCTAATATCCTTCAGATTTAATGTTTGGGGGTTGGAAGAATAGTTGCTGCTCCATGTATCTTACCTACATGTAAGTCTTTAAAGCAGGCCTGTACAACTTGTGGTCCTCTGGCCACTTGTGGCACACCAAAGGATTTCCTCTACATACAAAGGATATTTTCCCCTACATTTTTTGGTGGGCCACTTGAAATCTTTTGACATGCCCACCATGGGCGGAAGTTGTGCAAGCCTGCTTTAAAGATTCTAACCAGGGGCACCTCTGGCCTTGGAGTCAGGAGGACCTGAGTTCAAATCCGGCCTCAGACACTTGAAACTTACTAGCTGCGTGACCCTGGGCAAGTCACTTAACCTCAATTGCCTCACCAAAATAGAATTAAAAAAAAAAAAGATTCTAACCAGAGCTGCTACTTAGCTGGATGTGAATGCTTACTGTGTTGTAGACATGCTACCTAGCTCTGCTTGTACATTATATAGATATACATACACACATATATATGTATATATATGTGTGTGTGTATATGTATATGTATGTGTGTATATACACACATACATATATACAAGATATAAATATATTACATAGATATATCTATAGCCACTCTATATACAAATATATATCAAATACTTATATGTATATGTATGTATATATAGGGGTGTATGTCAGATAGTTTGTGTAGTTGATATGGGGTAGTTTATATAACATGTATATATATATACACACATACACACAATACATATAATATATGATATATATGTACAATATATGATAAATATGCACGTATATAATACATAAATTGTTATGTATGCACCCACCTACTATACATACATGTATTATGTGTGTATATGGTATGTGATAGTTTATATAGTGTACATATACACACACTTAATACTCATATACATATATGTATGTACATACATGTATATGCATGAATATATGTGTATACACACATATATATTTCACAGGTTGAGAACTCCTAAACTAGATGATCTTAAGGGTTCCTTCTAGTTCAGATTAAGTGCAATTCTCTGACTTTCATGAATGTCCTTTTTCTCCTTTTCCTCCTCCTTTCTGAATTCTAACCATCCTTCAAAATTTAATTCCAGTCTCAGATCCATCTTACTAATATGTAAAAGGCAACCTAATGTGTCAGTCAGTAAATGTTTATTAAGGCAGGACCCAGGACCTGGTCAGACCCAGGAAATGGGTCTGTTTTGGTCTAGGGGTACTGGGACCCAAGGTACAGGGCGTGGGTCTGCTTTGAAAGAATTTGACCACTCAAGCCATCTTTCCATCCAAGTAGTGAGTTTATTGTAATACCCATAGAAGCAGGCCACACTCCAAGTGAGTCTATACTATTTGTGATGCCAATACAAGCAGGGCATATTTTAAGAATCTGAGCATTTGATGAGGAAAAGGTGGATATTTTTATATAGAAGACTATGGGAAGATCTTGGTGGGATCTAGGAGTGGCAGGTAGCCTGGTCAGAAGTAACAGAGAAAGTGGCCTAAATGAGATTAAGGAATGTCAAATAAGCTAATTAAGTAATCAAGGTAGGCTGGGGTGGGCCAGATGCCTCAGGTGACTGCCAGAGACTGGGTTCAGGTACTGGGTTCCTGAAATTTGTGGGAAAATTCAGGGCCTTTTAGAGGTCCATCATTAGCGCCCCATCATTCCTCCCTCAAGCAAATGGCACCCAAAATATTTTGGGGTAAGGGGCAAAGGTCTCGGCTTCTGAAACTGCTTCGTGCTGGCAAGGGGCATAGAGCTGTCCCTACCATGAGGGGGTTCCAGGGAGGAGGTTGACTGGAACCAAGCATAGGCCGCCTCCAGGGGTTGTTGGGTGGACATGAGCTGGTACACACTGTTTGCTACTAACTGTAGGTGAATGGCTCTTAGTCTAGAAGACAAAAATCTGACAAGCAAGTCTGACAAGTGAGTTCAATATGTAGGGCCCAAATATAGGGAGAAGTAAAAGCAATGTCAGAATGGGAGAAAATAAAGAAACAAAGCAAGAGATTTATCTGATCTTGTTAACTTTCTCAAAAGTTTCCACTCTGATTCCATTTCCCTTAGGTGGATCAGATGCTATTGGGAAGTAACAACATTTTTGTAGGTAGAAGTTTTCTACCGTGGGGTTCAAATGATACACAAGTGAGTTTTGCCAGAGGCTGACTTTTGCTCCAATTATATCAAAAGGAGGATACTTAAGTAAGGACTAGGGCAAATAGGTTACCTCCCTCTAAGAAAACTGATTGCACTGAAATTCTCTTCCCCAAACCAAACTGAAAATATTTCTGATTTAATTGCAGTAATTTGGGAGATGGAATGACTTCGCATTCACGTCAAAACAGCAAGATCTCCCATGCTTGAGTTGTGTTTATATCTTTTACTGACCACTTACCCTGATTATAAAATTTTTCTGAAAAGGATAAAGCAAGGACAAGATTTATACCAAGTATGATAAGATAAAACATCCTCAGAATTCAGATAATTCACAGTTTTCCAACTATTCAGTATCAATTCCACCTCATAGCCAGACTCAGGAATAGCCAGATGGGTAACATTCCTTTTCAAAGGAACACAATGGGGAAACTGATCCAGGAGGATTCCATCTTAGACTGAGGCAAAATTGTCCTCTCAGCTTTTCCCAGATGCAGACCTCCACCTGTGTCATTCTCTCTGAGTAGCTTGTGGCATTTCTCTCAGATATTATTAATCTCAGGATTATTGACTATTGATTATGGATAGATTATTGTGATCCATCAGACAACTCAAAATAAAATCAGTTACAGTCCCATGAGCTTTTACCTCAAATAGCAAGTTTCACTAATCACAGGTTAGGGAAAATTTACCAGGATTTACAACTCAAATTTACATTTGTCCTGGTATAAAAGCCAGTCATTAGAGATCATTTCTATACACTTGCAAATTCTTGGCAAGCCAAATTCATTGTTTAGGAACTCCATGACCCAGACCAGCTCTTTGGCAAATAAAGGGGATTGACAGGGACCCCAGAGAAGGGGCTTCCTATCCACTCCATCTACCCTTAGAGCTGCTGTGGACTGTGCCTTTTAACTAGTCCTGAGGACTGCTCTGAATGGGCAGAACCAATCTGGATGAAGTTTTCACCTCATCTCCTCATCTCCACACACACAGAGTAATCAATTAACAGTTTTAGGTTTTAGCATTAAAACAAAAACCAACAATCTTACAATTTTCATAAGTGATAGCCGAATTGTTTTAGCTATAACACAAATAAACTTCAGATGACATCAGTTGCATTTCCAAATTACTTTACATAGAGAATTGGCATCTCATCATTAACATGTGAAAACTACAACTTTTAAAAGAGTGGGCGTACCCAAGTTTGGAGGCTAGCTGGCTTCTTACCTTGAGCTGCCTTGACCCATGGATACATTGAACCTGGATGATACTTCCAGGGTTTCTGGGTGGGATACAGGGTGCCTAAGGGCCAGGGATGTTGCCAATGGGTCCCCTATAGCTGCTGTCCCTTCCTCCTTTCACCAAGTGGGGAAGGGTGAATTCGGAGGTGGGGGAGAGTGACTCAAATTCCCTATCATTCTCCAGCACTTTCTTCTCTTAATCTGATCTGGGATGAGAGGGGTTAACAGAAAAACCTGGGACTATTTGCAATCCCTGAACTGAGATACTCTCTTGACTCAAGGGATGGGAGTAGGGGAAGGGAGTGACCAGGGTTGGTGTTTCAAAATGCCTTAATGATCAATCATAAAACCTCCAGAATCTGCTAAGATGTTTTTAACTGTTCTAATTTTTCCCCATAACCTTAGCCTGGTCAGAGCTGGGACTATAGGAAGAAGAATCTTAAGAATTTTTTTTTTAACTTTTACAATTTTTATTGATCCTCTAGATCATATTGAGGCCAGGCACAAAGCTTTCCTTTTCAATGTCTTGGAAACCAAGCTTTTTCTAGTTCTAAGCTAGGGGCAAATCCAAGACCTGCTGAGTCTAGCTTCAAGAATCCCGTGGCCATGAGGCCAGATGAGAAGGGGAATCCTGCTGGCAAGGCTGTGAGGATGGGGAGTCCCTCCATGAAGGAGGATCCTAGGGTGAAGAGGGAAGTAAGCCTCAGGAAACCAAAAAGTACCTGCAGTTTTCCTAATTCCCTAGCATCCTGGAGAATTGAGAGAATTGAGCATACACTTCCAGATAGGGTGTCTACCGTCCCCTATGCAGCAGAAGGTGTGCCCAGGTCCATGGCCTCAAACCAAACCACTGGACCAAGAGCCTGAGAATGTCAGGCTTGAAAAGCACATCCAAGCCTTGCTAGGTGCTTGGAGAATGACTCCAACTGCAGAGAGAGAAAGGGATAGAGAGAGAGGGGAGGCTTACATACCTTTTGGTCTTGGCTAGAAAAGAGTTTGAGGGGGTCAAGCAATTCCCAGAGAAGCAAACTATGTTTCCTGTCTAGGATTCTGGGAACCCTGAAATGCAAGGGTACAGGGTGCGGGTCTGCCTTAAAAGAATTCTACCACTAAAGCCTTATTTCAGTCCAAGTATTGAGTTTATTGTAATGCCAATAGAAGCAGGCCAGACTCCGAGTGAGTCTGTACTGTTTGTGACGCCAGTACAAGTGGGCCAGATTTTAAGAATCTGAGCATTTGATGAGGTTAAAATGGATATTTTTATATAGAAAGACTGTGGGAAGATCTGGATGGGATCTCGGAGTGGCAAGTAAGCTAAGTAATCAAGGTGGGCTGGGGTGGGCCAGATGCCTTAGGCAACTGCCAAAGACTGGGTTCAGGTGCTGGGTTCCTGAAATTTGTGGGAAAGTTCAGGGCCTTTTAGGGGTCCATCATTAGCACCCCATTAGGTGCTAATTTCATCAGAATTTCATTGAATCTGTGTCCCTGAATAACCTGAACTATATTTATGGCTTTTACTCAGCATAATTTTGTACTGACCTTCCTCCACACTGTGATAATATTTCATTCTGAACCTGAATCCCTGTGGCATTAGACAGGGTGGGAGATGTATCTACTGCTGAAAAAAACAGAGAGGGCAGAGAGAAATTCAGGACACTGCTTGTTCTTGGGGGAAAAATGTATCCCTCCTTTTACCCTTGGGTGGTGGTAGCAAAGAATTTGACTGAATCTTAGTTTCAATTCAGCTAACATTTCTTAAGTACCTACTGTTGTATTGTGAATTGTGCATTGTGCTAGATGCTAGAGGAGATATGAAATATTGGATTAGCTGTAGTCCCTTCCCTTATGAAACTTAGTTTAGTAGGGAATAGAGAATCATAAATTTAGAGCTGCAAGGGACCTTAGAGGCCATTGAGGCCAAACCCCTCAATTTATAGATGAGAAGACTGAGGCTCAGAAAAGTTGTGATGGCCAGGATCACACAGCTAGCAAAAGTCTGAGGCAGGTTTTGAACTCAAGTCTTTTCAATTCCAAGTACAGTACTTTATCCACTATACCATCTAGTTATCTTGTGAATTGTCCCCAAATAATTGTGATACAAATCAATATATTGTAAATGTAGTATATCATAAAAGATATCAAAACAGAGTGCTGTGTGAGGTCTGAATGGGAGGAAAGAGCTATGTTAGTTCAGCTATGACTGTCATTTAGGAGTGAGGTTGAGGTAATAAGATCTGAATACCCTTTCATACTTCTTAAGAAGGTACAGAGGAGTTTTCTTTAGTAATATCCTTTTCTTAAAATGCATTTTTGTATATGTACTTACTTATGTATATCTTGTCTCCTTCAATAGGATGTAAGCTCCTTGACAGCAGGGAATATTTTTCTTCCTATCCTTCCTTCCTTCCTTCCTTCCTTCATTCCTTCCTTCCTTCCTTTCTTACTTCCTTCCTTCTTTGTTTCTTTCCATCTCTCTCTCTGTCTCTCTCTCTCTCTTCCTTTTGTCTTTATGTCCTTAGAACCTAGTACAGTGCTTGGCGGAGAATAAATAATTATAAGAGCTAGCATTTGTATAACACTTTAAGGTTTGCAAAGTGCTTTACACATATCTCTTTTCATCCTGATAATAACCACAAGCTGTTGATGGAGATGACATTATGTCTTCATTTTACAGATGAGGAAACTGAAGCAGATAGTAGTTAAGTGACTCGCCCCAGATCAGCCAGCTAGTAAGTGTCTGAGCCTGGATTTGGGAGAAGAAAAATATCCTTTTTACCCTTGGGTGGTGACAGCAAAGAATTCAACTGAATCTTGATTTCAGTTCAACTAACATTTATGAAGTACCTACTGTGTACAGTGCATTGTGCTAGATGCTAGAGGAGATACTAAAGACTAGATTAGCCACAGTCCTTTGCCTCATGGAACTTAGTCTAGTAGGGTCATATAGATCATAGAACTCCAGATCCAGCACTTTATCCGTTCTTACTGCCTAATTATAAATGCTTACTGATAGATGGATCTCTTCACCATCACTGACTTTGTTGTTTCCTAATCTACACATTTGAGGTAAGTATGAAGTATACATATATTTTCCTGGAAATATTTCTTTTTCATACTAGGTGTAGCAGCAGGGATAAACCCTTAGCTAGAAATATCCTCTTTATAACTTTTTGTTTGTTTCTTTTTGTTTTGGATGATTTAGGAAGTTCATCAAGAACGGATTGCTTTGGAAAACCAATTGGAACAACTTCGCCCAGTCACAGTCTTGTGACCTTTGGGTGGGAATGGGAGTAGCTGACCTCTGTGCTGAGGTCTTCACTTTTCACTGTTGGAGCACATCTTCTGGGAAGAGATATCTGACTGAGTCAAAAGCAGAGAGAAGTGGAATCTGATGTGTTTCCTATTTCTCCCCCACCCTCCTGCCTCACTTGCCATCCCTATGTTTCTGTATGCAGGTGGAAAAGTCCTCCAGCCAATGGTTAAACTTGAGATTGTGGCTAGAGAGTTGAATTGTCTCATGTTGGTCCATTCCCAAATACTTCTTCAGGGTCTTCAAAGATGAAATTTGTCACCAAAAATTAATCCAGTTCCCTAGCCCTTCAATAAATTTAGTGCATTATTTATTTAAAGAATTCCTGATCTGTATGGAATCTTGTTACTTGCTGTCAGGATGCTTGTTTTATATTTGCATTTATAATTGGTATGTACTAGTTTTGGTATCCTGGGTATGTGATTCCAATAGGCTTGTCTTAGGGCATAATATTATATGGCTAAGTAAGTAAATCTAAGAGTAGCAACAAATTTAGACTGAAGCTATGCCCACCACTCTCATTTGCCAAGAAATTGATGATATAGCGAGTGCCATTTATATTTCATATCTATTTATAAATATATAATCCTTATTTTATATTGAAGCTCAGAGGCTCTCCATGATTACACAGCACAAGATGAAATAGAGATTTGATATGTATCTGGTTCATTTCATCATGATGGATAGTCAAACTAGATGGATTTTTTTATGATCTAATCTGATAAAAATTAAATAAAGACTTGCCAAATCTTCATTTCTGTTCCATGTGGATGCAGCATATATAAAGGTACAAGTTTGAAAACCTAAAGGAAAGGCCAAGAGATGGTCTGGGCTGACAAATTCCTCTTTATAGTTGTTTGCTTAAGCTACAGTACATACAGACTAGAAAAATGGTAGAAATGGTCAATACCAATACAATATGATCATTCCTGGAATAGAATTGCTGTTTTCTTTGTGTCTGTGTTTTTGTTAACCTAGACTGTATCACTGGTTTACACTGAATGGGTAGAAGGAATGGATGAAGGCCAAAGCTTACATCATACACATCACTACATAGTAGTACTAAAATGTGAGGGGCCTTAAGAGTATAATTAAAGTCAATTTAGCCAGACAAGACCATTTGTACTAAACATAGTTGATGTATGTTGTTCCATCATTTCTGACTCTTTGTCACTCTATTTAGGATTTTCTTGGCAAAGGTACTTTAGTGGTTTGTCATTTCCTTTTCCAGTTTATTTTATAGATGAGGAACTAAGGCACACAGGGTTAAGTGACTTGCCCAGGGTCACACAGCTAGTAAGTGTCCGAGGTCAAATTTGAACTCACCAAGTTGAATCTTCCCGACTCCAGGCTTGGTACTCTATCCAATACACCACTTAGCTGTCCCAAGACTGTTGATACAAAATGTTGAATTCCACTTGCAGAATTTTAGCCCCACAGAAGTTCATATAGGCACTTTCTCCCCGGGATGTCTGCACCAGAGGAGTGCTTTGTCTCTACCTGTCACATGAAGTTTAAAAGCACTTAGAAAGGTGAACTAATTTGATTCCTTTCTTAGATAACTGCCCTGCTTCAAAATGGGCTATAGTTCAAGGTCAGGTCTAGCTGATTGCCACAGTGCTGCAAATAGCAGTACTTTTATCATTGCTCTTTCTCTTAATGCTTAATATACCTGATTTGGTTATCCCTAAGATGGATTGGGTATGTATGTATTTGTATGTGTGTTTGTGTGTTGTGAGGGGAGTGTAGAATTCTATTGGAAATGGATTGCAGCATTTGGGTTTGAATCTTAAATATAAATATAATGAAGCACTTTGGGCAGAAGCAATTTTTTTTTAAGACTTTGTTTGTCTGGAGCAGTCTCAGGCATGAGTTTACCAATTATTGTCTTTGTGAGGGAATTTTTCCCCCCAGTCAAATGAAATCACAGACTATTTGAGGAATTTTATTTGGTGAAATTTGAAGATTTTTATTTTTGTTTGTTTTGAAAATGCTTTGGAAACCAGAGTCAGATATGGTGATACATGCTTGTAATCCCTGCTACTGGGGAGGCTGAGACTGGTGAATTGCTTGAGCTTGAGCAAAGCTGAATTGGATGACCACACCAACTAATGGCAAGCAATGGAGAGCCACCAACCTGGCTGCCCAAGGAGGGGTAGGAGGGGTGAGTGACCCAGATGGAGAAAAGTGGAACAGGTGAAAATTTCCCTACTGATCATTAATGAGAAAGGAGGACCTAGTCACACCTACACCCACACACCCACACACATGTGCTTATACGTATAAATGTATGCTCACACCCATGAAAAAAGGAAGAAAATTCCTAGAGCTCTTCCGACTTCTCTTCACTTTTTTTCTTCTCAGTTCCTAACTCCTCTTCTCCAACCTTCCAACCTCTTCTCCTCTCTCCCCACTTGCCTCTACACACACACACTATTCAAAAAGTATGCTGACTCTTCTTCTGACATCAAGTCTGTCAGGTCATGTTTTAGGTAACCTGCTCTTTAAAAGTTTCCTTTAGTAACAGCAAATTTTAGGAATAATGGTTTCAGCCTAAACCTTTAAGATCTTGCTTGGCTTGTGCTGCCCATAGAAGGAAGAGCCATGTTCATACTTTTATTATTGCAATTTTCTAACATGTTCTGGATAGCATTTCATATTCCAGTACTCATGCTATAAATAAATGTATATTAGAATGTTTGCATTTTTTTAAACTTAAATGATTTTCTCATCATGATATAGACCACTTAATAATCCAATGCTAGGAATGTATAGCCTGGATTAGTTTCTTTTCTTTTTTGTTTTCTTTTTTCTAGTTTGTTTGTTTGTTTTTTCTTTTTCACATTGGACAATCAGAACAATTGAAATATCATCAGTGTTTGAAATTATATCAAAGAGTGAAGTCATATTGACCCAGATTGTCTTGGCTTCACTCATTTATGACTCTAATTAATTAAATGTCTGAAGGTGATTTTTGAAAGGAGCTATGATGTTTGTGGACTTGGCATTAGTTGGTGTACCTCTTGTCCAAGGACTGACCTCACTAGATTCAGAAAGGCTTGTGCCCAGAAGGTTGACCATCATATGATGACATTATTTTGGCCACTGTAGCTCACAAAGTCTGTCTACCAAGGCTTGGAAAAGTTGGGATCTGCATTGGTAAGGGGCATATTCACACTAAGGAAATCATTATCTTTAAAGTGAGCATTAAATGTGCTATTATCCAGTGTTACCTAGCCAGTCGGCATCTCTCTCTCTCTGCATATATATAAATATATATATATGTGTATATATATATATATATACACATACACATACACACACATATATATACATGCACATATTAAAAATCTTTATTTGAAGTGTGCGTGCACCTATAAGGTACATATATGCACATTTGTGTACAGCTTTATTTTAGGATTCCTACCACCCATTTGTTTTTTCCTGTACCTTTTTACTTGGTTTATAGTGAGAAATGAGACTAGGAATTACTGTAGCTACTATCATTATATTAACATTCTATCATCATTAGTATATTAACATTGGATTTTGGCTATAACATTTCTAGGGAGTAGAATTGAAGGCAGATCTGTATTGCATACCATCCAAAGAGGCTAAATTATTAAAGTACCAAGAAACTCTTTGGCATAAGGTGGTTTTTCCATTTAGGTGAAAAAATCATTAGTCTTTAAAATAGTGTTATAGAAGAACACTATTCTCACCTGGCTGATTTCTTGTCTTTGAAGGTATTTCCTCCGTCCACACTACCGTCATGTAACTTTTTCTGTTAGGGGAAGGGGCCATGGCTAGGAAGCATCATGACTGAAAAGCTGTAGGCTTTTAACCTGTTATTTTCTTTTGTATATTTTAGTTGAGTAAAAAAGGTAATGTAATTTTGATTTGCCATAGTGAATTTAGTAGTAGATCTGATACTTTTTATTGGACCTGTAAGTAATTTAATCAATATAGACAGTTCCTAGTGAGGAATTCCTTTACTAATGCAGATGGGCATCTCTTCTGCGATTTAGAGTCATAGAGATTTGCTTTGGGCGCAGACAGGTTGGGTCAGCCAGGAGATATTAGAGGGAAAATTTGAACACTGACCTTCCTGGCTTCAAAGAAAAGTCTCTTTCTACTATGCAACACTGCCTGTCATACTTGGTGTCTTTTAGAAGTCATAAAAAAGGCAGTTTGATTTTTCTTCGGTAGCTTAAATAATGAGTCTATAATAATATTTAATAAAAATGTTAAATATAAAAGAAATGACATTTTAAGGAAGGTAAGACCTGGTGATGTTTTCTGTTTGTGACCAAGTTAGAAGAAAAAAAAGTCAAATTTCAAGGTGAAGTGATAGAATTAGATGTTCTTCTAAACAGAAGCCCTTTACTTTTTGAGAAGTAATAAATTACGTTAGACAACTATTGCTCAATATAGACTCATCCTTCATTCTTTATGAGAGTGAAGTCTTCTTTAAGCTTCTGGAGAATCTATGTTATGATAAGAATTCTCTTCAGCAATTTGTGGCTTATTGGACCTAAAATGTAAAGTCTCAGCATTATTTTAAGGTGAGTAATCAAAAATATGGTTCTTTTGTTATTGATGATGACCTGCTTATAGCTTCAGTCTCAGAAAAACCTGTTCGAATGGACTTACCTACTTTGGTTTATTTCTAAATGACATTGGCCTATTCCCTACATTACTTCTTCCAAGTGACTCAGATGTAAGTATCTGAAATTAACATATGCATTGTTGTCACATAATTTAACTCTCACAAATATGTTTATGAGGTCTTTTTCCAGCAAACAAAACAGTCTTGGCAAGTGAATGTACATACTGCCTACTATGGGTACAAATTAGATATGCAACAAAATATCAGTATTTAGGAAGGGGTGTGTGTGTGGGGGCGGGGGGGGACATGACCTGTGGTTTCATTGGTTTTGGTAACACATGCCTTCTACCAATGCAGAAGGACACTTACTCTGCAACTTAGAGTCTTTGAGAGTTTTCTGAGGCGCTGAGCAGTTAAATAACTTACCTAAGATCACACAGCCAGTATGTCAGAGGAAACACTTGAACTCAGGTCTTTCTGACTGTAAATTCCACGTCACCCCATGTACATTACATGATACACATACCTACACTTAATATATATTGTTTATATGAATACACACACATACAAACATATACATATGATTTCCCAAAAGCTATTAAAGCTTAAAATGGCACTGAGTTTTGAGATATACACATATACATACATATATAATATATATGTATGTATATATACACACATGTGTATGCACATGTATAAATATGTGAAAGAGTTACAGAAATTTGGCTATAGAAAGTTTTGGTCTAGTTACAAAGGACTTGGAATGCCTTCAACCCTTTGAAGAGTTTTGCTATTTTGTGCTTTGAAAATTCACCTGTAGCTTTTTTCTTTTTAGCTGATTTCATTACTGTGGATATTTTGGGAAAGATTGGGAATGTTAATTTCTAACTTTAAGGACCAGATCACATCTGAATTGAGAAGTGTAGAACTGGAATTACTGGACTACAATGAGGAGACTTTGAGTTTCCTCAATCATACCGCTGTATGATATACCCATATCACAAAGACAATGACTTTTCATAGCTCTGCCTCACTTAAATCCAATTTACTCTCAAGTCAAGCTATCACCCGTGATGTCATTGGTCCTCTTCAAAAATGAAACACAAACAACAACACTTCACTAGTTAGTATAGGGTGGAGCTCAG